CAAAGTAACTACGGCATATACTGGTCTACTGTGGATCATTCTGTCACCTACAGGGCGCGTTAAGATGGCCTCAAATATATTCCGATGGTCCATGTTGACGGCAAGCGTAAATTAGCCGGTCATTCGCTGGATTTGCCTGGATTCATCCACTTCTCCTCCGTTTCACCCAATCGGGAAACCCCATATTCGACTCTCACGTGACTCGGTACCTGAATTCCCCCAGATATAAAAGCATTCCGACTCATTGAGTCATTGTTGAGAAAGGATCGTGTTGTTTTTTGAAGCGAACAAGTGTCTGTCTTTAGAAAGCCTTCGCGATGGTGCACATCAAAGAGTTCGCCGTGGAACAAGTATGACCCCTCCCCAACCGGACAACCCCGCATATTTTAACTATATGAAGCTAACCATGCTACTCTGTGCAAGTGGATGGACAAATATGAAACCACAGCCAAATACAATGTGGCAGAAACATGCTGTGCGTCAATTTCATTTAATGATCTCCGGGAGCTGTCGGAGGACAAGTCCGACCCATTGGATTTGAGCATTAAGCTCACCTACGGAGCTATTCGTGGGTCGGAACGACTCCGGGGAAACCTGGCAAGGCTGTACTCAGATCAGTCACCCTTGCCATCGGACAATGTCTTGATCACTGCTGGCGCCATTCAAGCCAATTTTCTGCTGCTCTATACTCTGGTTGGGCCCGGCGACCATGTTATCTGCCATTACCCCACATACCAGCAGCTCTACTCAGTCCCGGAATCGCTCGGGGCCGAGGTGAGTCTGTGGAAGGCGAAAGAAGCAGACAACTGGAGGCTGGATATCAATGAACTAAAGAGCCTTATCCGTCCGAATACCAAACTGATTATCCTCAAGTTAGTAAACCCCTCGAATTCCACTGACCGGCTTCTCTGATCAAGATATTTCGCCGTACAGTAACCCTCAAAATCCTACCGGAGCGGTGATACCCCAGGAGACATTGAAGGATATCGTTGAAATAGCTCGAAGCTCATCCATCATTGTCCATGCCGATGAGGTTTACCGACCGCTGTATCACTCTGTCGGGGAAGGCCAAGCCCCGCCATCGCTCCTGTCTCTAGGATACGAGCATACCGTAGTGACCGGCTCCATGTCCAAAGCATATAGCTTGGCAGGACTCCGTGTTGGATGGATTGCATCTCGCGACCGTTCAATCATTGAGGCCTGCGCCAGCACCAGGGACTACACAACCATTTCCGTCGGCCAGCTGGATGATGCTATTGCGAGTTACGCCTTGGCCCCCGCGTGTGAGCCCAACCTCATTCGGCGAAACCTTGACTTGGCCCGCCGGAATCTGGCAATCTTGGAGAAATTCATCGAGTCTCATCGGTGGGCGTGTGACTGGGTTAAGCCGCGAGCAGGTACCACGGCATTTGTGCGTTTTAACAACCAAGGCCTTCCAGTGGACGATGTAGCCTTCTGTGAACAACTCCAGCATAAGATCGGAGTGATGTTTGTCCCTGGAAGCTTATGTTTTGGGGAAGGAGGGGATTATGAGGGATATGTTCGAATTGGGTATGTGTGTGAGACGGAAGTGTTGGAACAAGCCATGGAGGCGTTGCGATCGTTCATGGACAGTGAATATAGGAACGTGCCGGTGAGAAACCGGACTTAGTTGAGAGATCTGCTGAGTAAGTTAGAGAATGAATTCAATATCTAGCCAAGCCAAACTTGCATGGACAGTAGCATGCATGCATTGACCGGAGAAAGGTGAACTCAGGTACAACCCGTGCATCAATCAGCCCGTGCATCAACCCGAACATCAGAGTTACTTAATCAATAAGTCTGGCCATAGTCATTGCTCTTATTGTAGTAGCGATGGATGGAATTAGCCCCAACGGAGGCTTATTTTCGGTTATTCCCACACTTTCCACGGACCCATTGGCTAATTCAGCCACCAGCCAACTTGGCGAGTCTCCACCTGATCAACTGGTTTTCTTGTCGGACCATTGAATACAATAGTTCCAGGTTAGTGGAGACCGTGACCAGCTTCATTCGATGCACAACCCATCATTAGCGCTTGTTCCGTCCAGCCGAGGTAAGTCTGTTCACCCGCTCCTCTCCACGTAACGACATACTTACTAGTATTTAAATAGTGAATTGAATGACAAGGATCTTGTTGGCTCAGCCTCATGGCTGTCAACTAAAAGCTCCATCGATGCCAACTCGCGCTCCAACAGTTTCTTTGTTCCTCTGCTAGTATTAATACCCCGCGCGCATCCTCATTTCCGGCTCATCTGCTCGTCTCCTTACTTCCCTTCCTTTTCCCTTTCCTTCCGGTGACCACCAACGGGCAGACCATATCAGTGTGCCGCTTCTTCCGATCCATCCAACATTATCAGTTGGAATAACTCCCAAAATGTCTGCGATACTTGGTCTGTTAGCTCCCTACCATAATTATACATGAAGCATAGCTAGAATTCCGGTACTGACTAGATGATCTACCAGATCTCCCCGTCCCTCTCCCGATCGCCGGCTCGGCGCTGGTAGCCACGCTCGCATATCTAAATGCCAAATTCTCTCTATTCCAAGACAAACATTCAATTTCCTCCATGCTCAGTATAGCTAGTAACTCCAAGTCATCTGAGCGAACCGATCGGGTCAATTTCTTTTACGTCCTGGAGCAGCATGCCCGCGATCCGAAAACCAAGGATCGGCCGTTCATCGTCTACAATGGACAAAGCTGGACATATCACGAAACGTACGTGCTGGCGCTGCGCTATGGCACCTGGTTCAAGCAGGTTCACGGAGTCAAGTCCCGGGAAGTCGTCGCCATGGATTTCATGAACTCCTCGACGTTCGTTTTTATCTGGATGGGTCTCTGGAGTATTGGCGCTGCTCCCGCCTTTATCAATTACAATCTGACAGGGCAGCCCTTGACACATTCGGTTCGGGCCTCAAGCGCACGACTGCTACTCGTTGAGGAGGAGCTTCGCCAAAAGTTCACGTCCGAACAACTAGAGTTATTTGCTTCTCCTGACTTCCGAGACGGAGGTGATTCGGTCAATCTGGTCTTCTTCACCCCGGAAGTCGAGGCTCAGATCCTCGGAATGGAGCCTACGCGGGAGGACGACGCAGCTCGGAGCGGCACTCAGCTGCGCGACATGGCCACGCTCATCTACACGAGTGGAACTACCGGCCTGCCCAAGCCTGCGATTCTTCCTTGGAGGAAGGTCTGGGCTGGTGCTGTAATGACCAATACCTGGCTGAAGATGACCAAGGACGACCGGATGTTCACGGTACGCTTCTTTGATACTCCTGTACTGTGTCTCAATCACACTAATCTCATCATAGTGCATGCCTCTTTATCACTCATCCGCAGCCATCCTCGGTCTCATGCCGTGTTTGTGGACAGGATCGGCTTTGATCATCGGCCGCAAGTTCTCTGCTCGCAGCTTCATGCGGGAAGCCGGTGAGAATGATGCGACTATCGTGCAATACGTGGGTGAAACCATGAGATACCTCTTGGCAGTGCCGCCCGCCATCGATCCCGTCACCGGGGAAAACCTAGACAAGAAGCATAAGATTCGCCTGGCCCTAGGCAACGGTCTGCGTCCAGACATTTGGAACCGGGTGAAGGAACGGTTCAATATCCCTACGATTGCCGAATTTTATGCCTCTACCGAAGGCCCAGGTGGCTTGTTCAACATCTCCTCCAACGACTTTACTGCGGGTGCAATTGGCCGTAGCGGGTTCCTCACCAGTATGATCATCGGTCGTAGTGTCGCTATCGTCGAAGTTGACCAAGAAACCCAACAACCCTGGCGTGATCCCAAGTCCGGTTTCTGCAAGAAGGTCCCGCGGGGCGATCCGGGCGAGTTGCTATATGCACTCAACCCGCAGGATCCCGGAGAGAACTTTGTCGGTTATTACAAGAACAACAAAGCCACGGACGGCAAGATACTCCGCGACGTGTTTCGCAAAGGTGACGCCTACTACCGATCCGGAGATTTGATCCGATGGGACAAAGACGGTCGGTGGTACTTTTCCGATCGTCTAGGTGACACCTTCCGATGGAAGAGCGAAAACGTGTCCACCAGCGAGGTGGCCGAGGTGCTAGGCGTGCATCCGGAGGTGCACGAAGCCAACGTCTACGGAGTGGCGTTGCCAAACCATGACGGTCGTGCTGGCTGCGCCGCCATTGTTCTTCAGCAACAGACACGCTCCGAGGACCAGACCGTGGTTCTCCCTCCATCTGAAGAGAGTCTAAACAGCTTGGCTGCGCATGTGGTGAAGAATCTTCCGCGGTTTGCTGCTCCACAGTTTCTCCGAATCACGGCTGAGATGCAGGCTACGGGAAACAACAAGCAGCAGAAGCACACTCTCCGGACACAAGGAGTGGATCCTGCGCTGGTTCCGGCGAGTGACCGGATGTACTGGCTCCAGGGGAACCAGTATGTGCCGTTTGAGGCGAAGGATTGGGACCGACTACAGGCTGGGCGGGCCAAGCTGTGAGCTGGTCTAGTTAGTGTTTTCTGGATACAGGTAGATAAGTGTCGATATCAATAGCGCTGTATCTTGTTAGTAGACGAGTATCATCTTAGTTTAAATTCATGTGCTGTAGTTGTTGTGCATACTACATCAATGATTGTCATGGTACATACTAATCGTGTGTGAAATGTGAAACTCGAATATAGTTCTGCGCATACTAGCAGTCTCTTAATATGATATAGTGAGTACTATTACCACATACCATATGAAAAGCAGCGTTGATAGGTACCAAACAAAGCTCCTGAATAAATGGTCTCCAAAACAGGGACATGTAGATAGTGTAGTAGGTCTCCAGTCAATCAACCACTGGGATGATCCCATTGGCGCTATATGATAAGTAACCCTTACAGTGTCTCAGTCCCGAAGACGAGGAAATAAAATGGAAACAGATAGATCCGATCGTTCTAAGCCATTAAGAGAATATATTACACATAATACCGGAAAGTCCTTCGTAGTTAGTTGGTCAACATAAATCAAGTACCACTTTCTTCCACCTGATCCTTGAACGATTTCAAGAGCCTCGCGGCCGCCATATGCCCATTATTCTCAGCCAATTCCACGGCACGCCGATATTGCCGTTCACCATCTTTGCCTACCAGCGATGCTCTTTCGTCAATAAGAAGCCGAAGCATGTCAATTCGACCGTGCTCTGCCGCTCCCTCCAAGGCTGTTCTGCCATTGAATTGCGCAGGAGCAGCATTAACGTCTGCGTCTAGGTCGATGAGCTTGCGAGCGATTCCCAGGTAGCCTTGAATGGCGGCAATCTGTAATGCGGTAGCTCCGCCATTCTCTGATGGTGCACTGTTGACATTGGCTCCATGGTCAAGAAGGAGATTGATCAGGTCCATGTTTCCGTTATTCACCGCATGTTGTAGCGCCGTGCGTCGACCCTCGCCCTCCCCTAGGTAGTCAATATTGGTTTGCGGGTTTTTTACTAACCATTGAACTATGGATACCAGCTGGTTCTTGACTGCAGCCTGTAGAGGAGTGAGAATCTCACACCATTCTGGTATTTCCTCACCATCCTCATTCACCCAGTCATAGTAGTAAATATCAATCTCTTGATTCATGTCCACCGCCTGCTCCAGGATATCATCGATTAGCCCAGTGTGTTGATAGACAACTGCCATTGTCAATGCACGGCCGATAATCTGACTGTCCCAGACCCAATATTGGAGAAGAATCTGAAGAGTTGATCTGTCATCCTGTTGTGCCGCTAATTCAAGGACTGATTGCGGGTCCTCGTGTGTGAAATCGGCACCCTCTTCGCAGTACCATCCCTCGCAGAATCCTTGCGGTGCCCCCGTTGGTTCGATACCTGCATCGAGTATGAGTTTAATAGCTTCTTTTTTGTCCATTACAATCGCATATCCGATCGCGGTGGGTGCTCTCCCAACGAAAAAGGCCGAAAGGTGACTCAGCAGATCAATGTCACCAACATGCACCGCTGCAGCAAGGTCACAGTCGGTCACTCTAGCGCCACGTTCCATGATCATCTCCACCAAGGAAAGGGATCCTGCTTTGATTGCGGCTTGCAACGGAGTTTCTGAATGTTCGGAAATATCAAGCATAGTGGGATTTCCGTCAACATCAAGATCATAAGCAAGTAGCCAGTGCGCCAATCCAGGCATTCCAGTAGAAATTGCACGGGTCAGAACTCTCCCTCCACATACTTCGAGAATGTATTTCAGTACACCCCTTTCTTGTAGATACATTGCGAGTTCCAGATTTCCGATTCCTCGGAGCTTTGGCCCAATTATTGTAGCACCGGCGGACTCCAGCATTTGAATGAGCATTAAATCTCCCTTTTCAATTGCTGCTGCAAGCACTGTTCCAGGCGCATCACCGTAGACTTCATTCAATGGTGCACCTGCTTGGACTAGCATATCAACAATGTCGTTATAACCGTTCTGGACAGCAAGGAGGAGAGCTGAAGAGTTCTGCTGTTTACGTGAGTAAGCCATGTGTCTCTGAGCGCCCCACTCTATCAGGAGTTTACTCATCTCCACGTCTTTCTGCTTGAGAGCACGTTCAAGGAGTGATAGTTTCCAGCCCTTAGATGCAGATTGAATGTCAAACCCCGCTTTAAGTAAAAATTGGGCTATTCCTGTATCACCAGCCTCAACAGCGAGGGTAAGAGGTGAAACACAAGGAAACTTATGTAGTCTGTGTTCGACGTTGACACCGGACTGGAGCATTGCCTGAATAATCTGCAAATTCTTTTCTCGGACTGCAAGCCCCACAACTGTAGTCATTTCCCAGCCATTGTCAAACTCAATATCCAAAAGTTCATTTATATCTGCCCCTCTTGAGAGAAGGAGGTTGACCGTCGAAAGATTGTCACACGCCACTGCCCGCGCCAAAGGATTAAGATCATCCCCATCGTATGGTACATTCACGTCGGTGACTCGATCTAGTATCTCAATGAACAGATCCATATCGCTGATCTCTGCAGCAGTTGCGAGACAGGATGGCGTGACAAATGCATTATGAGACAGGAATAGCCTGATTGCCTCAGTATTCTTGCATTTGAGTGCATAATAAAGAGGGGGATAGTCGTTGTACGATAAGTTGATATCGGCCCCGTGAGACAGAAGAAGTTCGACGGTCTCAATGCCAAATTCAAGGCTCGCCATCTGAGCAGCAAATTGTAAACATGTAAGAGGACCGTCGTAAAATGTGTCCACCCGACTATCAGGGTCCATTCCAGCCTCCAACATCATTCTCACAGTGTTCAGTTTCAAGAGTCGCAGTGCACTGGCAAATAGTTTCTCTGCTATGGCCTCTGCGGTGGGCTCTCGAGTTGTTAACAAGATCCCAATGTGCTTCATAGTCTTCCAGCCAGACATGTGCAACAACTTCATCACATTCCGGTCATGGGCATCCATAGTGTCTTTGGATTTGCCAGTTGGACCGTGGGAGACGAAGTTATTAGACAACAAAAATAGTTCCAAGTTAAGACTCTCTGTTGTCGTTCGTGGGGAGTTGCACAACCTTGTGGCGAGGCTACGATGCTGGCCATCGAACTCTTCCGGCATCAGAATACTAAGTCCAGTCACTATACGGGAAAGGCTATTGATATTGGGTGGATGGGACAGCGTCTTCCAAGGAATTATCGAGCCTAGTCGTTGCATCAAGTCTCGATTGATGTTGTTTGTCAAAGCACCAGGGGATTGTGGCGATGTCACAAGGAGGGCGGGCGGTAGGGACGACAGATCTATACAACCGTTCAGGTCAGTTTTGCAGAAGAGGGAGGAATAGCCCTAGGAACATACTATCGTCTCGTCGAGGCTCGAGCAGCTTGGAAAATTGCAACCATGGAAGGGAGTGATTCCAAATGAGCCGCATACCCGGCGTTGCAGGAGTGCAGACAACAATTCCTTCTGGAGTGCTGGGAGAAGGAGCTAAGACTCTATTAGCTGCCTGGGATTCGTGTGAGCAGGATGATATGGGAACACGCTGAACAGACCATTTGGAAGGTTATCCACCGTCGAAACAAAGGTTGTATTGTATCGAGACTTTTTCAGCTTGCTGGGGGGATATTGAACCCCGTCGACATACACTTCGCTCTCTTTCTGGTATTCCCTCTTTCTCTTGTCGACTCGCCGCCCGATAAACTTGCCCTCCGCTGAGGTCAGAGAATGATTTTTCCGCAGGCCCCATCGCTTGAAGTATTTTTCGTACTGTGACTTTCTATTTTGATATGAGCTTCTCTGTGTCTGTAGGTGCAGTAGGGTAAAATTGTACTGACCTTTCATCGAACCCGTACTTAGTTCGCATATACTCCCTGACTTCGCTCAATTTCTGGCCTTCATGGATGTAGAGACGCTCCAGTTCGGGCCGGTAGGACTCCCAGATGGCGTCAGCCATGCTCGGATGTTGTGGTCTTGTGCCTGAGAGGTAGAAGGAAAAGCGTTCTTTCCGGTGGGAGTCAGCCTGGTACTTATAGGGGAGTAAATGGTGAGGTGCACATCAGCCTGGTGCGCCAAAAAGGACCAAGTACACGTAGAATTACTAGAGCAGTAAGCCTGACGAATCAAGGCGTGGGCGGGAAGGTACATACCCTGCCAGTTTCCTTCCTTCTATTGGCGGTTTCCAAAATCTCGATGCACCTTCTTTAGCCCTGCCAGGGGGCTGCACGAATAGGAAATCGACGATGGTGGAGCGCAGCCATGTTTAGCGTCTTGCCTGAGTATCACCCTCTGGGATTGGTCTCGTCCAAAATCTTGGGATGATAAACCGTGGGCTGTCACAAAGATCCCCGATGATCGAATGGATCAACATGTGCCAGCGTAAGCCCATCCATCTATACAGAAAAACACAGCACGAAGGCCCTCTCTAGGATATAAAAGGGCACCTTTTCTAATGACCTCTGGCCAATTTCCAGCACCAAAGCACTCATTGAAACCTGAATCATCTCTTTCGCCATTACCATTACCCATCCGAGTTCATCATGGAATGGCCGACCGGTTTTTCTCTAGGGCTCCAAGAGGATACTACTAGTACCACTGCTGGTACTCATCCAGACCGCCTCCCCATCAGTCAATACCTCTTTCATCAGTCATCAGCCGCTCCAGTGTCCCAGCCAGACTCCTCCATCTTTGCAAATCACGCCTATGGGGCCTTTACCTCGATTACTGGTCCACCCCGTAGTATTGAACCGCGTGTTGGCACAGTCAATCCGGCGGGGGGTCCTTCAAGAGACAGAAACATTCCACCACAAGGCGGTGTGGCGCAGACTGCCCAAGCGTCTTTTGCCTATGAGGAAATCCCTGCCTTGTATGCTTCCACTCGTATTACTGGTGGTCAGCCCCTGCGACTACCAGTAGACTGGACGGATAGCAATGCAGACACGAACCCAACCTGGGTTGCCCCCAATAGCGCCATGAGCCACCAGCCACACCCAGCTCCGGGAAGGTATGCGGCCCGCTTCATCTACTACCATCAACATGGCATATTTAACGGTACAATATTTATGCAGTAGAATCCCTCGTGCCCCATCTAATACCCATAGCCCACCAATCTTTGAGTGCAAATGGCGAGGCTGTTCCAGCTCCACACGGTTCAGCACTGAAGGGGACCTTGTCCGCCATCTTAAATCAATCCATATCTCCCCAGATGCGTATTCCTGTTCAGTTTGTGGCAAATCCTTTGGTAGGAAGGATCACCTCCGTGACCACCAGAGACGTCGTCATCGTTGCTTGGTCTAAGGCTCTCTGTGAATCATTCGTGTTTCATATAGGAGTTTCCTGCAATATTCTCCTTTCATCATCATCATCTTCGTCTTTCTTTTTTTTTTTTTTTTTTTTTTTTTTTTTTTTTTTTTTTTTTTTTCTTTTTTTTTTTTTTTTTTTTTTTTTTTTTTTTTTTTTTTTTTTTTTTTTTTTCTTTCCCCCCTTTTCAAAATAAATTTATATCTACTCCGTATTGTTTCTATATACCTGTTTGGGGCCTTATTAGCTGCTTTCTCATTCCATGTTTCCCTTAATAGTATCTGATACTATATACAAAGTTTGGGGAGAACGATATAATAAAAAAGAATTCGATCTTATATCATCGGCGCTCGATATTTGATAAACAGTATCGAAAGAATTCATAGGTCTTCCGTTTACACTATCTCGTACCAACTGTTATGGGGAAGGTCGAAGAAACAAAAAGTGGGGTACCCATGTCCACATAACCGTTCGGCGAGCACTCAGCGTGACATTAGGCAATTGTTTTGGCAGTCTAATCTTGGCAAGAAATATCGGACAGCCGCGTTGGACACCTATCAAGTGGGTTGGATAGTGAAGTTTACGGAAAATCTAATTATCCCTACGCAGCCCCTTCGCGATGCATCTAATACGTGATTATATTAGCGGCAAAGACATTACGTTCTATATTTGTAGATTTTTAGATTATTACTACCGTAGGTCATGGTTCCCACCCAGTTTCTAACTGCTGTCGCCATCGGGGTAAACTAAATACTGCTTATCTTCGGATCCCGATATATATATATCTTTCAAGCATCACTGGCCTATATTTTCAACAATACTTTGTCGTGTGGGACTTCTGAGAAAATGTCCCATGCATGACCGGGTGTAGCAGAACTCTTTCCTAAAATAATTTCTATTCTATTCATCTTCTACCGAATAGCACATCAAGTATTTTGAGCTCTGCTGAGGCCAGTACTACCGCACCATAAATCTCCATAATAAAGTTCGGCATCATCTCTCGCAGACCGAGAGAACGCGGCGGCTAAATGGCGCAGCCATAAAGGCTACTCGGAACATAGCCTCTCGATCCCGGTCTCGGAAACCCCCCAAGTGACCCGAGGTACAAAACCCCAGCACTTCCGAGACAACGCCCTGTTAAGCTCCCCTCTCACTTCTTCCACAATAACTCCAACCAAAGCAAAGCAACATACACCCTCATTCACAATCACAATAAAACTCATACCACGATGTCCCTCCCCTCCCTAGCCCGCTATTCCACACGACCCCTCCTCCGCCCGCAATCCCTCCCTCCGCAACTCACCCGCGCATTCTCCATCCGCCCAGCCCTCCGCACCTCCGCATCCGCATCCACCATCGCAACATCCTTCCTCACGCGCTTCCAATCCCTCGGCCCACAAACCCGCACCCAAACCCTCGACGCGAACCAACTCCAACTCCTCTCCCTAACACTCAATCGACCCTCCCTATTCCCCAACTCTCCATCCTTATCCAACACCCCGACCTCCCTGCCCACCGGCACGCCCTTACCCGCCGGCTACCACCTCGTCTACTTCACCCCCGCATTCCTGGAAAATGAGCTCGGCGCGGACGGCACCGACACCTCGTATAACCCTGCGTCGCCGTTCACGCGCCGCATGTGGGCTGGCGGGGAGGTACATTGGCCGCGGGGGAAAGATGGGAAGCCGAATTATCTAAGAGTGGGGCAGGAGGTGCAGGAGACGACGAGGGTGTTGAGTGCGGAGCCGAAGGTTGTGAGGAAGACCGGGGAGGAGATGATTGTTGTGGGGGTGGAGAAGGAGTTTCGGAATGAGGATGGGGTGGCGGTTTTGGATAGGAGGTGAGTGGGAATTGTCTTTTGTGAAGTTGGGGATGGTGCTGATAAGACTGTATACAGGAACTGGGTCTTCCGCAAAGCTCTAACCTCGCCGTCGCCTACGGCCTCATCTACGCCTCCAGCGACGAAGGCGTTCAACGGCCCGGCTAGTTCATCTACCCAGACGAGTGACAATGTGCACACGCGCACGCTGCGCCAAACGGCAGTGACATTGTTCCGGTTCTCCGCGTTGACGTTCAACCCGCACAAGATCCATTATTCGACGCCGTGGGCGAGAGATGTCGAGGGTCATAAGGATATTGTTGTGCATGGGCCGTTGAATCTCATTTCGATTCTGGATCTGTGGCGCGATACGAGGAAGAATGAAGGTGGGGAGTTGGTTCTTCCGGAGAAGATCTCATATCGGGCGACCAGTCCGTTGTATGCGGAGGAGGAGTATCGGATTGTGTTGGAGGATGGAGAGGAGGGAGTTGGGAAGGTGCAGATTGTTGCGCTGGGAGAGGTGGTGGCTATGAAGGCGGAGATTCAATAGAAATACACGGAGAAGTAGAGTAGTTGTGTAGATATTTGGTCTGTTTGGCTGCTGAGAGGGGGGTATACTGTGATAACTATAGCTATGTGTAGATGATGTTACACGAGAATATTATAGAAATACCTTAAAAAAGAATCATAGCAATCATATACTGTAAGTCCTATTCTTCTATACTTGTACCGTAACCTAACTTCTCTATAACTCGTCTGCTCCACTCCACCCCAAAGTAGGGTTCGGGCTTAAGCTCCGGAGATAACCACTCCACCCCCCATCCTTATCGCCATCGCGGCAGCCTCCTCCACTCCACTTCAATTACACTCGAACTCAACTTCACATTCACTATCTATTTACCACAGCTACCCCACGCTCCACACATCTCCCCTTATACTTGGTACATAGTAGACCCACCACATACTCCACTGTCCAACGACATTTACGGGAATCAAACGGACATGGAAAAGAAACGCACCCGCGTGCAACTCTCCTGCACAGCCTGCCGAGCCCGCAAGTAAGCACGCGGCAACCCCTCCAATCCCACGTTCCTCCCTATACCTCCAACCATCAACACCTATCACTATAAAATAACGCATGCAAATAATAATGATACATGCAACAGGTTAAAATGCTGCCGCACGCATCCCTGCACGAACTGCCTGAAGCGCGACGAAGCCGGCACCTGCACCTTCATCGGGCGCGGCCCGCGCGGCAAGACCTCGAGTAATGGACGGACCAGCCCGACGCAAGTACAGGATCGGTTGCAACACTTGGAGAATCTGATTCTGTCGTTTACGCAGCAGCAGCAACAGCAGCAGCAGGAGAGGTCGAATAGTGTGGGTGAACACCAACAGGTGATTAATAATGGTGGTCAGATTACGCCGGCATCGTCGGTGCCACCGTCATTGGCATTTGGGGAGGTACAGCAAGCGCAGGAGGGGGAATCGGAAACTCCGCCTCCTGATCCCGGGAGGTTGGTGGTTAGGGAGACGGGCATGAGGTATATTGATGGGGCGCATTGGAGTGCGATTCTAGAGGAGGTAGGCTGTTCTTTTGTTTGATCAAGCTAGGCGAGGCTGATTATGATATGCAGATAAGTGGGGTCAAGGAGTATCTAAAGGATAATGAGGAGATGGGATTGTCGGATGAGGAAGTGGAAGACGAGGAGATGGTGAGGCCGTCGAATGCGCCAACGCTATTACTTGGGCTGCACCAGGAAATGACCATGGACGAGCTTTTGGACGGGTTGCCGGCTCGGCCGGTCGTGGATCGCGTCGTGGCTATGTTTGTCGGTCTTATGGAGCCGACGACAGGTAGGTGTCGCTGTTGTATCAGTCCTTGATAGGTGATGCTGATGGGGTTAGTGATGTTGCACTTTCCTACTTTCCAGAAACAGGTATGCTAGCTCAATTGAGTGGGAAATGCAAAGGATGCTGCTGACGTGCGCAGTATAACCAATTCTGGCAAAGACCTAAGGAAGTTTCCATTTCTTGGCTGGCACTGCTGTACGCGGTTCTCACAATAACAATGTCCGTGTATATGCGCACCGGGGAGCCGCTACCGGCAGAATTCGGGGAAGCAGATGAAGCCGTTCAGCGTCTCAGGCAATTGACCGCGCAGTGTCTAGTGCAGTCAAACTACACCGTTCCGGGGCGTTTCAAAGTGGAGGCTCTGTTTTTCTACACAATGTGCGAATTCTTCCGCAGCGAGGATGCCCAAGTCGGAGTATCTTTCCTGCTGAACATGGTAATTCGGCTTGCTATGCGGTCAGGGTACCACCGGGATCCGCAACACTTTCCGAATATCTCACCATACGAAGGCGAGATGAGGCGGCGGGTCTGGGCTATCATGCGTCAACTGGATGTTTTGATCTCTTTCCAGGTTGGAGTCCCGCGGGGTATACAGGACTGGCAGCAGGACGTGGAGCTACCGCGTAACATCTCCGATGAGGAATTCGGGGAGTCTACCGTCGAACTGCCGCCATCTCGACCCGAGACTGAACTCAGTACAACTGCATATATCCGCGGAAAGTCACGACTTATGGCCGTATTTGGGAAGATCTCTGATTTAGCGTACTCGCGCGATCCTATGACATATGATGACATACTGGCCCTGGACCGACAGCTGGAGGAAGCTCGGGACCTTGTGCCCACTGCATTCAAGATACGCCCACTTGACCAGTGCTTCGTGGATCCATCATACCTGATCCTGAGACGATACACATTGGAACTTTTGTACCAGAAGGCCCGCTGTGTGCTGCACCGGCGCTACCTGGGCGAGGTGCATACCAATCCCCGCTATGCCTACTCGCGTCAGGTTTGCATGAGTGCTTCCAGGGAGATCCTCCGTCACCAGGCGGATATCTACCACGAGACTCAGCCGGGTGGACTTCTTTACCGCGACCGACAATTCCCGAACTCACTTCAGACCGCAGATTATTTGCTTGCCGCGATGATCATCTGTCTGGATCTGTCGCAGAACCCTACCGGCACACCGACGGGAAGCACGGACGAGGACGTAGCGGCAGTCATCCGGAGCCGGGAGGAACTGCTAGCGACCATTAAAACGTCACATCGGATATTTGAGCAGCAGCGTAGACGGTCGGCAGATGCACAGAAGGCATATGTGGCACTGACAATCATGCTGCGGCGACTTAATCTCCAGCAACAGGAAAGCCAACAATTGACTTCCGG